TGCCCTGGGGCACCGCTTGAGCGACGACAAACCTGCCCTGGGGCACCGCTTGAGCGACGACAAACCTTCCCTGGGACACCGCTTGAGCGACGGCAAACCTTCCCTGGGGCTCCGCTTGAGCGACGACAAACCTTCCCTGGGGCACCGCTTGAGCGACGACAAACCTTCCCTAAGGCACCGCTTGAGCCCCGCTTGAGCGACGACAAACCTGCCCTGAAGCACCAATTGCCTGCCAGCCACTCTCCAAGTCCCTCGCAAAGGGCCAATCAGGTTGAGATAATTTGGGGAAAGTTAATCGTATTTTTTCCTTAAGTCGGAAAAACCAATTGCATTAAGAGAATAAATGTTCACGTGTCTCGTGCGTGCGTGCGTGCGTGCGTGTGCGTGTGTGTGTGTGTGTGTGTGTGTGTGTGTGTGTGTGTGTGTGTGTGTGTGTGTGTGTGTGTGTGTGTGTGTAGCTGTGTGCGCTTGAGTGGAAGCATATACCTCAACCCGTCCTCCTAATAGAGCCTCGCATTTTGACGTATACTCTACCCAAGACCAAAAATCGTCGTACTAGAAAAATGGCAGCGGCTCGCGAAATTGACGTACTGTCCCGTTTAGTTTTGGGTCCTCTGGTGATAGGTTAGGAGAATGGCACTATTGTACGACAGTTTCTTGACGTTGGGGAACCTTAGGAGGACAGGCTGCTCTATTATCAGTCGAGAAGGAACCCGACTGTACTACCAGCGGTTCAGTTCTTGAGCTCATTATGTTTGTAACGGTTCTATTGTTACGTAAAGTATGGTGACAATAAACACAGACACTAAGATACTATATATATATTTGGTCGAATATACAGAAGTACACAGGTGATACTTTGGTGTGAGTTGAGCGCACTGAGCGTCGGTACAGTATCTCGCAAGTGTCTGCTTAGACCACACTTGAAAGTTGACTCTCGTTAATGTTTGCTATTCTGCTGCTTATATGCTCGGGCAACACCTCACCGTGTTGCCCGGGCAACGCCTCACCTCATTCATCTCCAAAGGTTGACAGGAATATTAACAATGCATTTGGAGCGAGTATATTATTGGGATAATCTACTCGCTACACCACCTACAAAATTCTCAGGGGAATTGACAGGGTGGACAAAGACAAATTATTTAGCATGGATGAAACGCAAACAAGGGAACACAGGTGGAAACGTGGTACCCAAATGAACCACAGACATATTAGAATGTTTTCAGTGTCAAGAGTAGTTAACAAATGGAATGCATTAGGCAGTGATGTGGTGGAGGAAGACTCCATACACACTTTCAAATGTAGATTTGAATGAACCCTATAGGCTCCAGAATCTGTACACCAGTTGGTTGACAGTTGAGAGGCTGGACCAAAGAGCCAAAGCTCTACCCCCGCAAGCACAACTAGGCGAGTACTAATGGTTTATTCTATTAAAACTTCTTTAGTTTGAGTATATGACTGTGGCTGGCATAAATACTCTATGTTATTTGGTGTCATAAGTATGAGGTCTGGAGTTGTCCCAAATGAGCATTATGTTACTTGCATCTTGAAACAACAATGGTCACAGCTAGATCAGGGGTCTCCAAACTTTTCAATGTAAGGGCCACATTATATATTTCCCATATTTATGCGGGCCGGAGGAATAAAAAATGAAAAAAAAAACAAAAAACAAATCAGTGCCAGTAATTTAATTTCCTCAAATATTAAAGTATAAACATGGAAAAATTAAAACATATCTTTTTGGAAAAAATCAGGGTAAACTAAATAGATTCCTGCCTTTAGTTTTATGCAACCAAATTAGTGTGACGAATGATACTGTCGTTTTGACTTCAAAATTTCATTAAAATCAGGTTCCAGATTAGATGAGCCAATTGTAAGAATTGATTTCAAGTGATCATCAGACAAATTTGCTCGATAGTTAGATTTCACATACTTCATTTTGGAAAAAGTTTGTTCACACAAGTATGTTGAACCAAAAATGGACACAAAACTACAAGCAAACTTTATCAAATTTGGAAACTGATCTGGCTGCAGGCATTTATAAAACTCAATCAGATTTCCTTCTCTATACTTATCTTTCAGTCTGTCATCTGCCTGGAGATCAATAATTTCCATTTGAAATTGAGTTGGAAGATTTTCAGCATTGCAGTCAAATGGATTATGAAAGAGCCTGATTTCATTTGCTTTGGCATCAAGGTCAGCAAATCGCTTCTGAAACTGTTTTTTCAAATCTGAAATTATTTCATTTGCAAATGAAAAAGGAAATTCAACTTTACTTTCTGCATGAAATTTTTCACAACATGGAAAATGAGCAAAATTCTTAACCTTCACCTGGCCTTCAAGTAGCGCAAGTTTTGCTCTGAATGCCTTGACATGAACAAAGTAGTCACTGATCAAATTTGTTTTGCCTTGCAATTTCAGATTCAAGTTATTCATATGACCTGTCATATCTGCAAAAAATGCCAATTTCCAAATCCATTCACATTCTGATAATAATGGCTGAGGGTTATTTTTCTCTGTGAGAAATAAATCAATTTCTAATCTGAGCTCAAAGAAATGCAGCAAAACCTTTCCACAACTAAGCCATCTAACTGCTGTATAATAAGGCAAGTTAACAAACTCCGCATCAATTTCTTTCAAGAAATCACGGAACTGGCGATGGTTGAGTGCATGAGATCTAATGAAATTAACCACAGAAACAACAGGTTTCATGACACAAGACATATCAACATATTTTAGGCACAATGCTTGTTGATGGATAAGGCAATGCAGAAAAATGGGTTTTGAGAATCCTCCAACCTCACAAGCTGTTGTAATTTGCCCAACCAAACCCTTCTTTGTCCCAGACATATTCTTTCCTCCATCAATTGTCACACACTGCACTTGTTTCCATTCCAGGTTATATTCTGTCATAGTTTTACTTACTTCATTGAAAATGTCCTCTCCAGTTGTTGTGGTGTGCATGCTGTGAACTGATGCTAATTCTTGGCTCACATTAAATTCACTATCAACACCACGAATGAATACTAAGAGCTGAGAAGTATCACACACATCAGTTGATTCATCCAACGCAAGAGAATACCAACAAAATCTTTTTGTTTTTTCCTTTATTTGCCGAATTATGTCGCCTCCTAAATCTTCAATTCTACGAGCAACAGTATTTGACCCAAGACTTATCATTTTGAAGAGGTTTACTTTTTCTGGACATACCTCTCCTGCTGCTTCCACTATACACTCTTTTATGATACTACCATCAGTGAAAGGTTTTCCTTTTTTAGCCAACACATAGGCAACTTTGTAACTGGCTCTAGTTGAAGTTTCATTTTCAGATTTTTTCTTACTGAAAACAGCTTGTTGAGAATGCAGACTGTGCTGAAATGATTCAAACTTTTTAGTGCGTTCTGCTCCTGTGATGTGAGAATAACTTGAGCCATGTTTAGATTCATAGTGCCGACGAATATTGTATTCCTTCAGAACAGCAACACTGTCTCTACATATTATGCATAAAGCTTTATCATTTGCTATCACAAAAAAGTACTTTATCTTCCATTCGTCATTGAACCGACGGCACTCACTGTCCACTTTTCTTTTCTTTATCTTTTCCATATCTGAAAACATAAGGGTAAAATAAATGAAATAAATTCTACAGGAAAAAAACAGCTTGTATGTGGTGTTAAAAAGCATAGCATATTATTATAAAGTGGTAAATATTATGGCAACAGCTTTCGTTGATAAACTTAATGGTTACCATTTTAACTATTTTAAACATGCAATATTTTTGGCTACAATAGTATTATTGCTATTTTGTATAACTAAGATAAAGGCATTGTCAAAGTACAGAGAAAAGAATATTGTACAGTGTTTGTGCTCCCTGAAACGGAAGCAGCGAAGCCCCACTCGCCCTCCATCCCCACAATATACAGTTATACACAACTGATTGGTTGTAATGCACAACACATACCTACCAGTATTAGTATCTGTGCGTCACACTATCGAGAGAGAGGAAAACTGACTCGGGTTGAGCGCCACCAGTCAGCAGCCCCAGCTTTGAATAATTCTGCGATGCCATTCGTACGATAATTATTTTTTCAAGGCCACCACACAGGGATTTGTTTGGAGGGCCGGATGAAATTATGTGGCGGGCCAGATGTGGCCCGCGGGCCATAGTTTGGAGACCCCTGACCTAGATGTGGTCCACTAGGCTGTTGCTTGCAGCGGCCCACAGGCCCACATATCCACCACAGCCCGGTTGGTCCGGCACTCCTTGAAGAAAATGGTCTAGTTTTCTCTTGAAGATGTCAACGGTTGTTCCGACAATATTTCTTATGCTCGCTGGGAGGATGTTGAACATCTGTTGACGCAGCTGCTCGCAGCCTGGTTGATCAGGTATCCTTTGGAGGTACTTATCGAGTTCTCTCTTGAACACTGTGAGGGGTCGGCCAGTTATGCCCCTTATGTGTAGTAGATGCGTGTTGAACAGCCTCGGGCCTCTGATGTTGATAGAGTTCTCTCTCAGAGTACCTGTTGCACCTGCTTTTCAAAGGGGGTATTCTGCACATCCTGCCATGCTTTCTGGACTCATGTGATGCTATTTCTGTGTGCAGGTTTGGGACCAGCCCCTCCACTATTTTCCACGTGTACATTTAATGGCCAGAGGAGAAATTTTCACAACCTACTCTACCTCAAATGTTAAATTCAAGATTTTATATTCTATGCTTTGGAAACATTCCAGCCTGGTACGTGAGCTAACTGGGCCATTCTTTTCGTCACGTAATGGAGGTTTTGCACTATTAATATTTTAATTAATTTTAAAAGTACAGTACAGAAAATATTATATCTTATTAATAAGAAATGTTCAATCCAAGAATGACATCTTGTGGAGACAATGTTAAAGATAAATAGGCAGCCAAAGGATTAATCTTAATACTGTCGTAGTATAGCAGAAATCATTCAACCAGTAAAAAAATTCCCTAACAATTCGGGGGTATTGAAATACAATATACAGTATGTCCATATATTAAATAAATTATCACATATGGTTAAATTCACTTTTGAAATCTCTCACCATTAAAATGTTTGTATTCAAATATTGCTGCTAAACAAAAACATTTAAATGGTAGAGTATAACTGATCTCCCAGTAAACAAAAAATAGTGCAAGATAAATGTTAAAACCAATAAATTGAAAAAAGGTAAACAAAAATATAATTCCAAGGCTCGAGAAACTTAAAACATGACAATTATAGTTCAACAACATTACACGCAAATTTATTCAATATCTGAACTCGACTAAAGAATGCAGAGCTTCTCATTCAAAAAATACAAAGAAGCACAATGAAATCACAAGAACGTAGCACACGAGAGAAATATCGAACCTGCATCCATGTAGTGTGGGTGCCCAAGAGGTCAGAGATGTGGGCTCAATTCCATCATATGACTACAACATTTTCTCACAGAATACAAAACAGTTTAAAAATGATTTAGGCACTGTATCTCTGATGTTTACATGCTGCATTTAGCCGTCCGTTGACTTGAAGTGGTCGTCATCGATGGTGGAGTAAATATGACCTTCACTGCTGAGGAAATCTAGTACGTCACTGAAATAAGAAAATATTCAATATTACAGTAGGAATACAGTACTACAATATTGTAATACTCAATATACTACAGTAAATTGAATACTACAATTCACAGTATATAAATTATACAGTGTATGTTCCTGTGAGTATTAAGTATTTGTAGTCCTGAATTTGAGAATTAGGAAATTAACAAGATCGATGAGATTGCCTGCAAGCTCTAGAATCAACTAAGGTAAAGAGCCAAACTTTACACAACACCTAATAACACAGATCCATCCTTACAACATAATGTTAGAGCTTCCATGTAATGAAAAGATGGAAAACATCACTTGATAAAAGAATTTTAAACATTTCCTTTAAACAATTCCAGTGCAATTGTGACCTATTGCAATACTGAACAAGTATAACAACTCAATCGAGCAGGATAAAATACATCGAAAATGCCCCAACATTAACCTTGGATTGCATAAACCTCAGTACAATACACTATTTTGTTGGAGAAGTGCAGAAACAATGTGATCACTACACTGGTCTTCATCCAATATTTTAAACAAATTAAAAATCAATCGCATATCCAATAGCACCAACTTTAGAATGTCCAAAAATTTACTTTACATTGTATGAACTATTATATACTCTCTTAAAACCATCACAACATTGCCTGAAATCCTATGCGTGTTGGTGGCTTTGTGAGAATGTATCAATAACTAAAATCTGTATACTGTATATGTGTATTATTGTATATATAAAAATAAAGAAATAAAATAGACATAATGATTGCAACCAAAACAGTGTTACCAGTTAAGATCTAATTGTAATAAAATGTGGGGTGTGTGAATCCATAAGCTGTGTGTGTGGGGTTATCTGGTGATGGTTCCGAGGACAAACATCTGCATTGCCTGGTCTCCAATATGGCCTCTCAATTGGTCTAGACTGGTCAACCAAAATGTTGGATGTGGTTGCTCACAGGCTGATGTATGAATCACAGCCTGGTTGATCAGGTATCCTATGGAGGTGTTCATCAAGTTCTCACTTGAACACCATGAGAGGTCTGTCAGTTATGCCCGTTGTGTGTAGCGGGAGTGTTGAAATGTCTTGGGCCCTAATATTGATAAAATTCTCTCTCGGCTGGCTTATTGCACCTCTTGTTTTTCAACGGAGCTATTTTGTGCTTCCTGCCATGCCTCCTGGTCTTATGTGATGTTATTTCCATGTGCAAATTTGGAACCAGTCCCTCTTAATGTTTTTCAAGTCTAGATTATTATGTCTCTCTCGCCTGCACTCTAGGCAAGATTCCAGTCTCTTAAATTTATACCAGACTTATAAAATCTCGAGCCATAATTCACCAACCGAAGAAGTGTCCACTTATGCAACCTGTACTTCCTTCTTCAACCATAGCAGCTTAGTTTAAACTTACTGTATTGCAGTTTATGAACTTCAAAGCACTACAGGGCTGTCTATAATGATTATAACCTTGGATTGGGAAGTTTCAAAGCTTGTAAACTGTTTAATAAATACAAAGTCACTATGACTGAGAAAAGATGTACAAGTTTTGTAAAGGGATACATAAGTGATTAATGAATCCACAGCCTTGGTTACAGACATCATGGCCATTATCCTTAAAGTGATTACTTGTAAACAATAAGTAAAGACGAATACTCACTCAACTTGAGGACGATTCACGTTTCCTTTAAGACTGGCATAAATAGCATCTCTAGCAACTCCTGCTTCATCTATACACTGGTGGATAACCTGGTACACGGTGCGCTGTTGCCCAGTAAGACCTTGCATGCCGGCAAAGCCACCTCCCACACTGGTTCCACCACCCATGCCATCCAAACCAGCAGTTCCAACCAGGGAGTTGGACATGATTCCACTAGCTGCTGGTTTCACATCTGCCTTCGCTTCTTGCTGCACAAAAATGGAATACAGCTGTACATTTTTAGTATAAAGAAGACCCAGACCTGCAATGCTTGAGAGAAATATATAAAAACGAATGACACGAATTTGAGTGTTTAAGACAAATTGACATAGCATTACTAAACTTTGAGCTAAAAAAACAAAGTTATGAATGAGTTTAGAACTTGAAGGGTGATGCTTATCACCCTTCGACAAAAAATGAAGAAAGGCAGAATAAGAAAAAATATTGTGTGTGAAAAGCTTTGACACCACCCTTCATGCATGGCTGTGAAACTCTAGCTTTCATATACTATATAGAAAAGTTACAAACTTGGTACGGATATTTATGAGCCTATTAGCTAGGTAGTAAACCGATTGGTTTTGATCACCCAGAGAAGCACTACTGTAGGGGGAAAGGAAAATGCAACTACACTTGCCCTCACTGGCGTGCTCATTGACATGCCACCGGATCCACTTCATTTCCTTCTCCTCATTACTCTTTTAACATATAGTAACATGCCTTCTGTGTTTTTGTCTTGCTTATATGTACTTTTTCTAAGAATAGGCAACCATTGGTAAATTAGTAGTGTTTGAAGTTCCTTGATATCTCGGGGTTGCTCCACCACAAAAATTTGAGGAAATTGTAAGTACTGTATTTGACTTGGCTCCTGTAGAACAGTGGTCTCCATTCTCAACTCACAATTGCAATTGAGGGAGCCAAGTTAACTCCCCGGGTAAAACAGATGAACACCGTTCTTATCGTTTGATGCCTCTGTTCACCTGGCAAAAAATAGGCACCCAGGAGTAAGGGAACTGTTGTGGGTGGCATCCTGGGGAGGATTTAGTAGTTGACCTGGAGGGACTGTGATATGCCTGAGTATTGTACAAGCTTCCTGTTCCCAACAATGAGAATTATATCCAGGGGTAATTTAAAATGTGGTAATTGATATGAATGATATAATTCATCATATCTTGAGGTTATCTTGAGATGATTTCGGGGCTTTTAGTGTCCCCGCGGCCCGGTCTTCGACCAGGCCTCCACCCCCAGGAAGCAGCCCGTGACAGCTGACTAACACCCAGGTACCTATTTTACTGCTAGGTAACAGGGGCATAGGGTGAAAGAAACTCTGCCCATTGTTTCTCGCCGGCGCCTGGGATCGAACCCAGGACCACAGGATCACAAGTCCAGTGTGCTGTCCGCTCGGCCGACCGGCTCCCAGTATATTCATTAAACAATTATATAAACAAGTATCCGGTCATATTGACAGTCTGCTTACCAAAGTATGAAGTTTTAATACAGAGTGCATTACTTCAAGAAGGTGTGTGGTGATGAGGTTGAGATCTGTGAGCGGTAAAATGCGAAACACAATTAGATTGCGTTTCCCCATTTGGAAACGAATTGCTCCAGAGACTCGACAATAGGTCATTTCCATTAATGAGGTTCGTGCGGGGTCTTCACTACTCTGTAAAGAGGACAAAGCTATACATACAATTTTTTTTTAAATTTATTGATACCAAGTCTAATATAGTCATGAAATGTGTTCATAAACCTTTCTATATACAGTACTCTACTATGGAGTGTCGATCTAACAGAACTCTTGAAGATTATTCCATGCCAAATCATCACGGCTCCCAACCCGACCACCTCAGATTTACACGAAATTTGGTGTGATGTCAGAGGACACAAGGTAACATAAATATGCAAAATTTTCTCCCTAAGTGATGCATCATATTCATACATCAAGGCTGCCAATGTGATAACAAAAAATAGTTGTGCTTACAATCTCTTGAAAATAAAATCATAACTTCACCTCCACCTTCGACAAGTTGAGTATTTTATGTCAATGTTTGCAGATGATGCAAAACTATCCTACCAAATTGTGAAAAATCTGAGATGGTCGGGTTGAAAAATCCACTTTCTTGTGATGATTTGGGGTGCAAGATCTTCCCTTGCACCCCAAATCACCCCCCCCCCCCACACAGATATATATATTCAAGGTTAAATCTAACATACCTGGTCAGATTCCAACCATTGCACAGCATCTATGGTTCCTGAGTGATCATCTATCGTATAGGTGATCCTAGTGCTTGTAACATCCACTGCACGAATCACGCCCACTATAACTACCATATGCACCTACAAATATACCAGTAAAGAATAATTTGTTGTAATTTTATAGACAATGTAAATTTACTTTGTCATCTTACGTCATGGTAACAATGATAACAATGGTCTTGGAGGGTTCTATGGTAGCCTAAATGTAATTATTTTGAAGATCTTTTTAGGAAGATTAAATACAGCGTCACATAATTCCCCAACATAGCAGAGGAAACTGCCTCTTCCATCTTACCTTCCTTATTCACCACTCTACATACTGTATATCATAATACTATCGATATGGAATTCAACCAAGTTGCAGACGAATGTTTGGACACTACCACCAGTGCACAGTCCACCCAGCCCAAGAGCCCCAAGCAGGTATTCGGCCTCCAGACTCGCCGGTTCCTTGTTAAGTCTCTGAACCATCTGTTATGCCGCCCGTTTCTAGTTCCAAGCCTCGGTGATAAAGGATATGACGTCATCATCAGGGGTATAAATACTCATGACCTCGGTCAATTCATCAGTTTCTTTCAGGTGCTCAGGGAATCAACATTATCGCCTTAACACAATGCTTGCCTCCAGCCGCTTTGTGTACAGGTTATAGTTATGTGTAAATACTCTCCATGTCACCCATATTTTTGTATTAACGCAAGTTTGTACATGTATTTGTTATTACAGTATTATTATTATTGCTTTTGTGTGTTAGCAAAGTTAGTAAAATCAAGTGTTTTGTGCATTTTCATGTTATTTATTCATTTTTATATTAAATTGTTATAATTTTCACCTGAGTATTCCTTCACTCCTGTCCAATTTTCACACTGCAAAGACCAATGTGTTTTGTTTTTTATTTAATGCAAAGTGTGTGTTTTATTCCATCTGCCCGGTTTAGCCGTGGTAGCGTTATCACGTCACAACAGAAATTATGCAACAACTCTAAACAGTCTTCCCTTAAAGAATGAAAAGATGTTGCTAAGCATAACCAATAGGAACTCAAAAAGAAAAGAATGGGTAAGATCTCAAAGTTATGCAAGATCAAGACTGAAATAGTAAAGATTCAAATCAAGGAATAAGATATCAAATGTATTTTAATTCATATTAAAGTCAAGATGGGCTACTAAAAGATAGTGGGCAGTACATATTAATGCGTACACACAATTTGCTGTACTACTTACATCCATACCAACAATCTGCATGCTTTCACCCTCGAAGTCCAAAATATTTTTGATCGCCACTGGTACCAGGTTTTGGGAATGCCGTGCCTGAAGAATTATCAACTTGTTATCTTTACTATTTTATAAAATAAATAATTTCATAGTTTTAGTATATTATAAATACCTATTACATGGGGAGGAAATGAGGTCAACATTTTACATTATACAGTAAAGTATCTGGGACATTATCTCTAAACTGGGACATTTAACAAATAAAAATGATATTTGTATTTGATATTTTTGAAATCTCTCAAATACTGTACCAAACAAATTCTGTACACACATACGTCCGATGCAATTTTATTGAAATATAAACGCAAAGACAAATATAACTTTTGCAAAAACAGGTTTATATAAAAAACTTACATTTGTATAAAAATTTGTAGAAATATACAATTTAATGTTATAACATCCTTGATATATTTTCCTATAAAAAAGAGATGCATATAAAATAATTTTGTTATTACTACTGTATTGATATTTGTATAAAACAAAAATTGGCTTTGTAATGTATGATTGCTTGTAATGCCATCTATAAACAGTGAACCATAATATGGCATCTTTACCACAAGCAAAACTGATTTCCTAAAATGCTGCCATGATTATCTTGAGTTGATTTCGGGGCTTTTTTAGTGTCCCCGCAGCCGGGTCCTTGACCAGGCCTCCACCCCCAGGAAGCAGCCCGTGACAGCTGACTAACTCCCAGGTACCTATTTACTGCTAGGTAACAGGGGCATAGGGTGAAAGAAACTCTGCCCATCATTTCTCGCTGGCACCCGGGATCGAACCCGAGACCACAGGATCACAAGTCCAGTGTGCTGTCCGCTCGGCCAACCAGCTCCCATGTGTTATAAACATGAACGAGTTTACTGCTATGGCCTTGGGTAACTTCACTGGTCTTTGTACAATGGAGTTACTCCTTCATTGCTTCCTTCAGCGTTAAAAATATTTTAAAATGATAAATATTTTTAAGAATTTAATATGCTGATGGACAAGTACTTAAAATTGCTTTACTAGTCTAAATCTGTATACTTCAATGGTCAAAGAAGTCTATACAAGCATTACAAACCTTCTTCTGCTCCTGTCCAGCTGGTGATGCAAACTGTCCTTGCGAGTTCATGAAGCCCCCCTCATTGCCCCCCCCATACCCGCCATCAAAACCACCTGCAAATTTACGTCAACATTAATAAAAAAAAAATCCAACATTAACAAATTATCACATCACATCAAAATTATACCATTAACAACATAGGTAAGAATTTGAAATCACATCCAATTTGCAGATACTAGTAGCATGCATATCTAAGGTAAGGTGGGGAGTAAAATCAATAGGGTATAACTTTTTTGGAGAATGTTATATATATAGTGTGATAAAAATCATCCAAGAACTACAAGTCAGTTCTCATTCCAGGAAAGGTTCAGAGGGCTTAAGAAAAGCCCTACAAACCAAACATGCGAAGCTGATTTCCTAGCGATCTTTTAAAATATCAAACAAATTAAGAGGACATATCCAAACCACTTCTTTAAAAGGTAGAATGTAACTCTTACAAGATACAGTATAACAACTTCAAGCCCAACAAGCCACAATGCAGGATAGAAATTAGATTTTCTCTATATAAATAAAACAGCAATCGACAAAGGATGACAAAATAGTTCCAGGAAATAGAAAGATCCATTATGGAGAGGTAATGAAAACTTTTTTTTTTTAATTCTTTAGAAAGGCAAAGAGTAATGCAACTGAAGTAGACAAATCGAGGTAAGAAATAGCCTTAGCTACTCTATCTTTCCGAGATGTACTTTAATATCTCAATAAACTTACTTGAAGTAGACAAATGAACAAAAGGGTATAATAAGGAGGATATTAATGTGTTAAATGTGTAAACACAAATTGGCTAAAATTAGATCCAGAGAAGACCTGGGAAATATTGGCTTGGAATAGGGCTGGGATTAATGGAATATATTATTAACCACTGCACTGCGCAAAGCGCCTTTAGGCGCTCAGAGAGTTGTGCTTTTTGTTTTTTAATTTGGCTATATTTTAATGTTTTTTAATGTTTTCATTACTATTTGTGTTTTGAAATGGAAATATTTGACTTTGGAAACATTTTGACATTAAATTTACCTGAACATTTGTAAAAATAACAAAAATATGTCCTTGTCAATTGCACCAAGACGTTTTTGCCGAAAATAGGTGAGCAGTGCAAGGGTTAAGTAACAATAACAGAAAAAACTCCTGAAGGGTTTCCCACAGTGCCACCAGTGGCATTGACAGGGACAGGAAGCCAGCAGCTTGCCAAAGGTCCCCTATTATTCCTGAGGAGGTTTTCTAACTGGATTTTAATTGCCTGACATTTACAGCTTCAGCAGGTAGGCAGTTATACGAGTTTATAACACTATGGGTGAAAAAGAATTTCATGTTTTCTGACCTAAATTATGGCTTGTTGACATTGAAGCTGTTGCCCCTTGCGTGCATTATTGTTGATCTCTTAAAGAAGTGGTTTGGATTAATATCCTCAAACTTGTTCAGTATTTCAAAGGTCTCTATGAGATCAGTCCTGTCATGTCTGGGTTACCAAAGAGATATCAATCCTCAGGGAACTTACATGAAGGAAAAGATAAAGAGGGTCGTAAGTAAAACTGTCAAAATATACTTAAAAAGAGAGCATACCTCCTGTGCTGTTCCACATTATGGCTCCAAGTGTTGTGGTCGGCCACTTTTGGCGGGAACATCAGTGTTGCCACATTGAAATTGAAATTGAAATAAGTTTATTGAGGTAAAATACACACAAAGGGATGAGGTAGCTCAAACTATTCTTATCCCTTTCAGTACATCGTGTTAATACATACATAGACACACATCATAAACAATAAACATATTACCAAACATTCTGAGAGATAAACATACAATTCCTTGTTGCCACATGGTACGCAATACTGCTAATATAACGAATTGTTTATTCACAAATCTATAACTTGAGTTGTTCGATATATATATATTTGTTGTCTGCTATAAAAAAAAACTATTGTGAATATTTTAAGTTAACTTACTAGATCAAATCATTGCAAAAACTAATATATTTCAAACTGCTAAAACACTGCTACATTTTTATTATGCACCCCATACCCATCTTGTGGGCGGTAGTGGAAAGGGTTACAGAGGCACTGCTACATATATCAGATATAATAATAATTCACTGTCTGGGGACAGGAAGCCTGAGTGTATTCACACACGTTAGGCTTTAATCGAGGTCCCCCCCCCAAGGTCGAATTACTGACCCCCGCCCAGCAACCCGACAACAAGCTGACTAACTCTTGAATATCTACTTACTGCTAGGTGAACAGAAGCATTAGGTGATAGGAAATATTTCCTATCTATTTCCTATCTATATATCTATTCCTAAAATATATATATATATATATATATATATATATATATATATATATATATATATATATATATATATATATATATATATATATATATATATATATATATATATATATATATATATATATATATATATATGTATATATATATATATATATATATATATATATATATATATATATATATATATATATATATATATATATATATATATATATATATATACTGTGAGGACAAAGAAAAAAAACGAATATATTTGTTTTGATTTAGATTTTTTTTATTCAGGTAAGGGTACATACATAATTTTGGATCTAAATCTAAATCTATTGGTTTGGTTTTGAATTTGGCCAAACCGGAAAACGATTTTTTTACTTATGTTACAAAGACACTAAATTAACCTAACCTTCCTAGGCCTAATGCACGCTACCTGTTGCCTAAAATAAAAATTCAAAATTCAAATTCAAAGACTGAACAAAAGAACAAACTGAACTGTACAGTACATATGTGTGCTATAATAGGCCTAGGAATATTTTTTTTTTTAGCTTCATATATTTTTCGGACTATAAAGGGAATGGTACAAAATCCTACTAATCTAATTGCTTAGTATGTCAATGTTTGTACTATGGTACAAATAGTTACAAAAAGTACTATCTAAACAGCAGGATGAGTTTAAGGTGTACAGATAAATACAAAAATAATATAAAATAAATCCATTTTATAAATATAAAATAAATCAGGTCCGATTAAGACCTTATTCATGTAATGTCAGTTGCCATATAACACGGAACTGTAATACAAGGAACAGCGTTACAGAACAGTAATGCAATATATAATGTATACATTGAACTGTATAACTAGATTATGAGGCTTCTAACTGGCATAGCTAAACATGAATTTGGCGGTTCAGTTCCTGAACCCATTATGCGCGGCTAACCTTTTCTTCCACGTTTAATATGCCCGTATATACCCCCATGATGGGTGTATAGGATGTATGATAAATTACTGAGTAGCTGAATCTATAACAACGCTTTCCCCGATAGTTCCCTTCCCTTCAACCCAATATAAACGGGGCGATGGAGTGGGAAAAGATTAGAGGAACATGTAGCGAGTAGATTATCCCAATAATATACTCGCTCCAAATGCATTGTTAATATTCCTGTCAACCTTTGGAGATGAATGAGGTGAGGCGTTGCCCGGGCAACACGGTGAGGTGTTGCCCGAGCATATAAGCAGCAGAATAGCAAACATTAACGAGAGTCAACTTTCAAGTGTGGTCTAAGAGCAGACACTAAGATACTATATATATATTTGGTCGAATATACAGAAGTACACAGGTGATACTTTGGTGTGAGTTGAGCGCACTGAGCGTCGGTACAGTATCTCGCAAGTGTCTGCTCTTAGACCACACTTGAAAGTTGACTCTCGTTAATGTTTGCTATTCTGCTGCTTATATGCTCGGGCAACACCTCACCGTGTTGCCCGGGCAACGCCTCACCTCATTCATCTCCAAAGGTTGACAGGAATATTAACAATGCATTTGGAGCGAGTATATTATTGGGATAATCTACTCGCTACAGAGGTTATCATATCTCCCCTTACTCTTCTGTCTTCTAGGGATGTGAGGTTTAGCTCCGGTAGCCTTTCCTCGTAGCTCATATCTCTCAGATCTAGGGCTAATCTGGTGGCATGCCTCTGAATCTTCTCTAACTTTGCCTTGGGTTTAACTAAGTATGGACTTCAGGCTGGAGCTGCATACTCTAGGATTGGTCTGACACACATGGTATTCAAGGTCCTGAACGATTCCTTACACAAGTTTCTAAAGATAGTTCTTATGTTGGCTAATCTAGCATATGCTACTGTACTCTCCTAGTTGTGCTTGCAGGGGTTGAGCTTGGCTCTTTGGTCCTGCCTCTCAACCATCAATCTACTGGTGTACAGATTCCTGGGCTTCTCGAGCTCTATCATACCTACATTTGAAACTGTATGAAGAGACACTAATAGGTGGAGAGAGAGACCGCCATCACATCACTTCCTAGTCCATTTCATTTACTGACTACTCTGACATTGAAAAAGTGGCAAGTGCTATGTAATTACCTAAGTGTAGTTACAGGATGAGGCTACACTCATGGTGTCCCGTCTTCCCAGCAGAAATAATCAAATCCTCAGGAGCCTTGATGAGGGTTCGAACCTATGTGCTGGAGGTTCTCAGATGAGCTCTAGTCAACTGTACCACAACATGGTAATTTTTTATTTATTTAATTTTACTTATTTATAATAATTTATTATTTGTGTGTGTGGCACTTGCAGGCAGTGTCTCATTTTGGTGGGTGGGGGAAGATTGTGACTCAAATATCCAAGAGTCTGGAAAAAAAAACTTTATGCTGGGAAGTGATGTTGCTTTCGCAGTGAGTAGGGCATTTCACTTGTACAGTGGCTGGTCTTCTCTCACAATTTAGTTTTATTTGTTTTACTTTCTTGTAGTTGTGGAGTACAGTATTTTGAACATATACTTCAGATTTGTGTATTTGTGTCACTTGTAGTGGCTGGTCTTCTCTCGATTTAGTTTTATTTGTTTTATTTTCTTGTAGTTGTGGTGTACAGTATTTTGAATATATACTTCAGATTTGTGTGTATTCTTTTATCAGTATTGTACAGGTATTTTTATTTCATGTTTTAAGTTTAATGTTTTTGTATATGTTAATTATGTTTTATTTATCACATTTGGCACCACCAAACTTGCTGATAAATATAACTAAAAATTATATGGTAATTTTTCACAAAGCTTCCTGTTGAAGCAGGAATAATGTTACTGTACTGTATAAAGAATAAAATATACATTAAAACCCCTCCTCAGACAAACCGAGACACGTCATAAATTGTGTGCGTCTGTCTTCAATTTAGCCACTAAGAACAAGTAATTGGTTTTCAAGTATGCCACAAGGAGTTGCATAGTGCCATAGTTATCAGCGAGTGAGTGTTTATAATAGGGACATAAGTAAAATAAGTAATAATATAGTATTCTTAATCTTTATTGTTTACATAAGAAACACAGAAAGAGCCAGTCATGAGCACTTGACCAATAGATTTTCTTCGATAAACACGCTCGGATAAACAAGATTATCAACAACCTGGGTGATGCATCAGGTGCTCTCCTCCCAGCTAGCAGGTAGGAAAGAGCACTAGTGGTGTTAGGGACAACCTCTGTACTAGTCGCAGGTTTGGAAGGGGGGGATGCATGTATGTATGTACACATTTATGCACAGTTACATATTGTATACAGTATTAGTGTGTCTCGAGTGTGGCCCTGCTTTATGCCTCTGTGAACAAAGGTAACTACTATCTGGCACTCCTTTCTAGTGAAAAATGTCAGTTTGACTTCGTGAGCACTGCACACACTACTGACATTGTATGGGGTGTAAAAAATAGTGTTCAGTCTTAAAATAGTTTGATAAAATACTAGAAACTACCTTACTCACGTTATGCTTATAGAAAAACTAAATGCTGTACAGTCTAAAATCACAGTAGCATTAAAATATCCATTGGTAAACGAGTAAAATAAATAATTGTGGACATTAACAATCACTTTATCTAGGAAATACAGGACAGATAATACAAAATAAGGTTGGTTATTCCCACAAATATATATAATATATACATACACATAGAGGTATGGACACAGACTCAAACCGGGTGAGAAGCAGACTAAACCTTGACGAATATAGCCTTGCTTATTAGTCTCTCAAGGTTATAATGAATGCTTGCTGCTATTCCACCACATCAGTTAGAAGCTCTAAAAAAAATACCCAAATGTTAAATATTTTAACTTTCTTTACGTTTCAATATGTACAGCAATTATTTCTACCGGAAACAGAGCTCGTCCATACTCCCCTTATTAACCATGTTCAGAATATTATGTATCCAAGATTGCATCCAGATTTGTTTGTATGACATATTTTGATGTTAATAGTTTAGAAGTTATAATAATTTAAAAAAAAGGTATTTATATACAGTAATGTGAAATATGTTGTCATAAGAGAACCAATGTATTATGAGCTTGAATATGGATAGCTGACCAGTATGTGGTGTCTGGTGCATGTATGTACTGTATTGTCGTTGTGTACGTGTCTGGTGCATGTATGTACTGTATTGTCGTTGTGTACGTGTCTAGTGCATGTATGGACTGTATTGTTGTTGTGTACGTGTCGGGTGCATGTATGTACTGTATTGTCACTGTGTACGTGTCTGGTGAATGTATGTACTGTATTGTCATTGTGTATGTGAACGACTACATGCCCAAGGGGTAATTCATACATCCAGCTAACAATATCACTGTGTTTGTGGTAAGCATCTCGGAATTATTATCTTTATAAGTACAGGTATATATTTATCGGTTTTTGTTAATTATGTGGAAGAAAACGGATGGTTAACATACCAGTGCTAAACTGTGAAAGATGAATAAAAATAAAAATAGACAAGTAGATCTGATAGATCAAGCTGTTCATATTAGTTTGAAGCAAAAATCTTAGTTTTGAGTAAAATGTGTCAATTATATTTTATATGAAGTTTTGAATACTGTATTTAGTTTGCATTGATGAAAGTCATTGTATGATTTGTTAAGACATCAATTTGAAATGTAAGTTGAAAATATTTTTAAAATTTTGTTTAAAAAGTTTAACTATCATAATTATACTAGTGTCTTACAATGTTTTTGTTTTGCATGAAGAAATGTAGAATAGAGTATAAAGAATGGGTAGTACTCCATAGTACAGTACAGTATTTATGTATGTAACCCAAACATAAAATTTAAGTTTCAAATTTCATGGCATCATTAATATTTAATTTTCTTTTCAAAGATTTGGATAGAATATCATGTTTGATTACAAATAAGCTTTCTAATTAACCTCTAAATACAGATTTAATACACCAATGGAATCATATGGAAAATAAGACAGAGCAGTAGGCCTATACGCCCATGTGATGCAGAACTTTCTTACACTAGACCTTTATTAATTGTTTATCTGGTGGAGGCCTGGTTGACGACTGGGACGTGGGGACGCTAAGCCCCGAAAAACACCTCAAGGAAAGGTATTCAACCAGTTTTTAAAACATACACTGCTCATATTGCCATATGCAATTGATCCTCAAAGCTTTTCAATACCTTTTTTTTTTCCATTTGCACCTGGATGTATGACTTTAAATAGTTAAGCAGTTTAAGGGTTAAACCTGAAAATACGCCCACATCTCTATTGCTTCAATTCTTCTGTATATCCCTTCCAAATCAAGCTTGCCCAATTTGAGTCCATTGTTAAGAGTCTGTACAGCTTCACCTAATTGAGGAGCAACTAGGGTTGTGGTCGTTTAGTGATAGGAAACCGAGTATCACTGCAAGCAAGGGCTTGGCAAGGTTCATATTTGCTTGCCATAATAGTTTAAAAAATCAATTATATTGCAGGATGTGTGTGTGTATATGTAGTACTGTATACAAAAGCATATGTTTAGTAGTGCAAATTATTTACTGCAGGATGTGTGCATGTGCTCAATTATTATGTTTTGATTTTTTTAAGAAAGAGTTATCGGAACTATTAATAAGGCCAGATCATAAGACTTTGATCTCTATCTAGAGTGATAATTAAGTTTGTGTGTATTCAGATCCTATGTATACCTGAAGTAAAAACTACTAATTATGCTTCAAGGGGTGTACGAGTTTATTCATGTAAATAAAGCATCCTGAGTAATAAGTGAATATTCCTGAGTATATTAGGTAATTAATACCTGTGTCCTAAGCTATACAGGTGTGCTGTATGTTTCTTGGGCACAGCGGGGATTACGAGGGACATCTCCTGCTGGCTGCTCCCGAGGAACGGCTGCAAGATATAAATAGGTCTGCCTTGGGTTTCACGGAGGATGGTTTCGGAAATTGGTTTCCTCGAGTTAAGTGTTGTTAAATAATTATTTTCAAGCAAAGCTATAACAATAGCCAAGTGTCAATATCAAATGTGAAAGTTTCTCTACATGTGATTTATTTAAGAGCACACGCAGCAAAAGGATTCTGCACATCTTAGTTACCATTTGCTATTCCTTGTTAGATAATGTGCAATAATCTATAACAAAGCTAAAAAAGTGATACATGTGTGATCATTTTTGTCCCTAATTCTAAATAAAAATAGAAGTACTGTACTGTATTCTTTTTTACACGGGTGGGTACAGGAGAAAATGTCTTCCGACTTTTGTTAATAGTCTTAAGAACATTCCCTTCTCATTGCTCATCTTGAACCTTGCCAACTATTTTTTCCTGGGACATGACCTGCCAATTGGCTTACAACCAGGCTCCCAGTTATTGCTGGGTGATTATGGACAAATAGTTAAAGATTAGCCCCCAATCAACCCTCCTTTTAAAAACAAAAAATACCCAAATTGTACCAGTTGTCATCAATTCCTATGGTTGAGCCAAGGAAGAACATAAATGGTAACTTGCGTGTGGAAAGACATAAATGTCAAATCCAACACACCTGCAGAATACTTGAATAGCTCGTCTCAACTTCATAGAGACGAGCCATTAATTAACTTCGGAGGAAACTGCTGAAATCCGTTCAATTTGTGGCCTCGAGAGATCCTCAGGCTTACTCTACTGAGTGGAGCTGTGGCTTCCTTGTGTCTGAAAAGCTTCTATGTGCAGGCAAAATATTCTCATTTGCTTGTCATAAAATATTAATGCAATGAACATTGCAGGTATAATTACATTTTATGATGAACAAACAACACATCAAGAAATGGAGAAACGACAATGTTTCGGTCTGTTCTGGACCATTATCAAGTCCTATAATAGAGTGTGGAAGAGAGATTTTCCGATGTGTGGTGTGGTCATCGTATCTTCAGCAATTTTATTGTGACTGCCTGCATAATTACATTTTATTTCAGATCGTATTTAACGAGATGTGGTTAACTGTAAGAAGTCTACAAACTAAAGGAATTTTTGTTTTGCAGGGAAATTGTATTGATGTTATTGACTTATTATTTTATTTGTTAATATGGCATAATTTTGTAATATTAGAAAGTAAGTGATTATCAAAGAGGTTACCAAGCCGGGAAGATTATTTGTAATACTGTATTTGAAAATAATAGCGTATGTTGTCTTGATTTGAGAATAATGTATTATGACGGAGTTACGGTATAACGCACAAGACCTCTCCTTGCAGTAGAGCCTCGGCAAATGGTTTAAGATTAAATACAATTGTCATAAGAAATTAAACCCTTAAATGTGCCCCCTATGATTTAAATGACTCATCACTATACATCAAAGTGCTGTATGAGTATCACAATTCTTGCAGCCTTATGCAATAGCTTGTAATCCTGAGAAAGCATTTTGAATAAGGGTTCAATATTGAACCCTTATTCAAAACGACATTGAATGATATATCAGAGTAAATGTTTGTAAAATGGATTGCAGAGGATTTGAAAGGGCTCCATAAGACTGTACAGTACTGTGGTCCATGGTTTGAAATCCTCTGTGAATTGATTTGACATATTGTTCTTGATCATTTTTGAAGGATTATCCTTGAGTGACTGGCACTAGTCATGCAATGTTTGACCTTAGCCTAATAATGGACATAAGATTTACATCTAATTTCATGAAAATATCAAAATATTTACATTTATATTCACTTTATAAAGATATGAATACAAAAAACTTCCAATTATTTTTATAAAGTACTGGACTTTATTTCAAACAAAAACAGTTTTAGATAATTCCCTGATACTAATATTATATACTGAAAGTCTGACATGTTTAATTCAGTATCGGTATAATGATGTTCTGCGAGTGAGTGGTGAGATGGTGGAAGGGTAGCGCGGAGGGTCCAAAGTTGAGTAATTGTAGCGGGACGTTGATGAGCCGAGTGACGGAGAGATGAGGCGGGAAGCTGTCCGACTTGAGGGTGTGGTCGGATCCTCCTCCTCCATCAGTGTCCTATTGGCCAGTACATTGAAAGGTTAGAGATGTAGATACGAACATAATCACGTTTAGTATGGCATGTTTCATTTATTTCAGTGTAAGGATAAACAATGTATATTATTTTATTACTACAGTGTAGTCACAATGTGTCAATTTTACTTACAATTAGTCTTATATGAAGTTATATTAAATCTAATGGTCTTGATTGTTATTAAGTATCATATAATACGCTAACTACTATTGTTGTGTGCATATACAGGCTATATTTAGTACTAAACTACATACATTATTTACGTTGCACAAAGTTTAAACTACTACAGTATATGCATGCATTTTTGAGTCGGTTTATCATTTCAAGTTTTTCCTATATAAAGAAAGAATTGGACAAAACTAGTTACAAAGTAGAGAGCTTGATGGGTTAAGCTTTTTATTTTTTTTTTAAGCTTAGTAACATTTAATTACAAAGGCTAGTGATAAATGAGCAATATAGCACTGTATAACAATCGCAGCCAAACAGTTGCTCTGTGCAAGAGGTTTGTATGTCTTGAATTATATACAGATTATATGAATTATATATTATATGAATTATTATATACATCTAAAGGCCATGGTAAGACTTTCTAATAAATATTGCAATGCAGTACAATACTGTATATTCAAATGTTGCAGGAAATTACAACATTTTGTTATGATGAACTCAAGTTTTGCGTAATATTTGAAAGTTAATTGCACATTCGTATTAGCGTCATCCGAGAGTGTCATCACGAAGCCAAAGTGTTAACTTGGAAAAGTATACAAAAGTTCATAAAGGCTATATAATTCATTATATGCACCTTACACTCTTTTCCATTGATATACTGTATCAACTGGCATACTATCTCTAACTCATACCATCAAAATCAATCATATTCACATTAAAACCACTTTCATTACTTCTACCCATCAGCCTTGTGAAGTATTCTCTCCATCTGTTTATCATTTCCTCTTCAATTAAAATTCTCATTTATCCCTCCACCAGTCTTCCTGGTGCACCACCACCACCACCTATCCAAAACAGCTACCTGTTTTTGCAATTTTTTTGTTTTCTTCCCATTTCTTCATTTGCTTTTGTTTTTCCTGCTTAACTACTGTAATGTTTTATCATACACACATCTTTCCTTGCCTCTTATTTTTGTTCAATTAGTATCCATAAATCCACTTCTTCTTATCAACTGTTTTTTCCATTTTCTTATCCTACCAAGCAGTTCCTCATTATTTTACTGGTTTGTGCATTTTCAAATGCTTCCTTGCCATTCTTAAATATTTCTTGTATTCGTCCTATGTATGACTATGGTTCATTCATTCATAGTATCTAACTCACAGATAACTATCTGCAGCTCTTTCATACTTTTTTTTTTTTTGAGATATATACTCATAAACTATTTCTATATCTCAGCTTGCACAATATGATTCTTGCCTTTTTGGATCCTTGTGGGATCCAATCACCTCTTTCACCACCTAATCATATTTTAGCCAGCACCAACATGTGATCACATAAACCATCAGATATTCCTCTCACTGCTTTTATATGACATCAATATCTTCTCTTGACAAACATGTATGGTATTACTCTTTTTCTGCAATTTCATAATTTATCCTGTACTCCTGTAAGTGGGGCACCATTCCTTCCCCTCTTTCATATCCCAGCTCTTTATCCTTATAGCTCTTGCATGTGCTACATAGTCGTACTGGCTTGGCACTTTATGGTAATTACATTGCCTCCTCCATGTGTGTCCTTATATTTAAAGTATGTATTAGTAATAGATAACTCTTTTTGTTGAGTAATTTTGTTAAGCTCTAGCCATCGCTATTTGTTTCTGGGACACCATTTCCACCCATTCTGTTATTTTCAGTAGGTAATTCTACTTTTCCATTCAAATCATTCAAATCACACTACTTCTATAACAACAAGGTATGCAAGTTTGTGGACCTTCATAAATCACGTCCTATTACAGAGCAGTGTTTTTTTATTCTTGTGTCAGTTATAGCTTATTATAGAGCAAGCTTTGTAAGTACAGTACACTAGACACTTAAAGTAATAAGTCAAGTTTTATAGACATGTCAGATGTGGTCAACCAGGACATCAATTTCAATACTGCACAACATTTTCTCAAATTTTAATATAGGTTGCTTTTATGTTGAAGCCATTAATAAGGTTAAAGCATTTAAGCAACACTGAAATATGGAACTGCCTTAGTTGTGACACCACGCAAAACACTGATAATTCCTCACTCGTGAATAATGAATCTTCCTTTCTCTCCACATCTGCCCGAGCTAAAGACAGTATAAATGTCAACTACTTTGAAGAATGGAAAACATCTAAGAGTATAATATTGTAGTAAAGTAGGCATGTTATAATTGACCAAGTGCACTCATTCAACACTGGAAATAAGAGTTATGAATAAATATCAAGGCTGTACCGCAGATTCAAACCCGTGTCCCTGAACCCCTCAGGCACATGCACTAGTGACTGGACCATGATAACATTAAGAGTATCTCATCTAGACATACTACCTGACTTAGATGGAGTTTGGAAAATACTCGTAGCCAGTCTTGTGACTGGCTACGAGAGTTTTAAAGAGTAAAACATCTTTACTCAAAAGGTTTTGATGACTCCAAGCTCCTAGTGTCTGTATATGGTGTGTTGTTGTTTTTTGATTTAGCTACTTGGAACAAATTAAGTAGTACGGGCTATGGTGAGCCCGTAGTGGACTTACCTGGCACAGGAGCGGGACTGTAACTGATGGTATCTATTTGCCTTAATTTTATTTATTTGACTTACTGCTACATAGCTGCACTGCCTTAAAGCATTTTGCATAATTACCTTGTGCAAATTTAATGATAAAATAAAGCTCGACTCAAATGAGCGTCCAGTAACTAACTATTTTTTGTACTAAATAATATTAGTTTTCTGAACAAAATTTGTCTACAGTATCTCTTTAGTTGCTATGTATATTTAAGAACAACTTGTATGCCAAGAACGACCAGCCGCACCATTAACGTGGAACCTGTAGCACAGTGCTTGGTACAGTTGGCTCTCAACCAACTGGACTCTTGAGTTTGATTCTCAGGCAGGGAGATGTTCTTGTGTGTTTCCTAACACCTGATGCCTATGTTTATCTAGCAGCAAATAGGTATGTATATGGGAATTGGGAGACTGTAGCCAGGGCATTGATCCTTAAGGTAGGGTGGCCTTTGTTAAAGCCTATGTTTTATGATGCTGTAGGAATCTGTTAACTAATAATGTTAGATCCATGCTGAATATGTTGGTTATGATCACTGCCCTTTCCGTAGGAAACTGTATTGCTGTTTAAATAGGCATATTGCAAAGACTAAAGGAAAATAATTGAATCGATGTTATCACACTTATCCCATTGTCAATAGTAACCTCATGATGTTCGTTCACCAGTCCTGAGAACACCTGCTGGTCATTGGACTACTAGGAATGTATGCCCCATACTCTCTAAATGATGCCTATGATCATACTTCATAGGATCATACCCAGATAGGAGGCCTGGTTGGGGACCGGGCCGTGGGGATGTTGAGCCCCAAAATCATTGCAAGGTAACCATCTTCTACGTTCTCTGTACTTCTGCTGAAGATGAGAATGGGCTCCGAAACTTTGAATAACCGGTGCTGATAGTAGTGAGCCACCAATTTTAATTAAATAAGCAAGTTAGATTTAACTTCTTAACTAACCAAGCTAGAAAGTAAATCCTACTGCAATCTTCTCATAGTGATCTTGTTAAACGCAAAAACAATGAAGGAACATCACGTGTAAATGCACACACAGTTTAGAAACCTGAATCAGGACTTCTTTAATAAAGGAAGCTACACAACATTTGTTAAACAAATATTGCAATATGCAGCACTGACCTGGAATCCACACCTTGTGAAGCATGAAACTAAAATATAACATGTACAGAGATTTGCAACATGATTGGTGCCATAGCTAAGAGGGTTATCTATCTATTAGGATAGATTAATGGGACTAGCTCTCACAACCCTAGTAGATAGAAGAAACGGGGGGCTATGATCACAGCATACAAGGTACTGAGGGAAATTGACAAGTTGTACAAGGACTTCCACTTTAAATTGAGAAAGTAGGATAAGAAGACACATGATGAATATCCTCAGTTTCTTGGTAGTCTTTGAGACTTCTGCCATGAACTTGGGTCATAACTGCCACTTCTATGTTTAATAAGCTTTGTAAGGCTTAATTTCTTTTCCTGGATCTTACAATTATTTTTCCAAAAAATCATTTTGTGCTGTAACGACTTTTTCTTTCACCAGTAATGCAAAATTTTACTTTTGTTCATATCAATAATATAACTAAAAGTTGCATGGATTCACAGTACTGTGCAGTAGCTATTGGAGTACATGGAGTGAAAAATGCAGTGTTCAGTGTCTATGTGCATCAAGTGCCAAGCTGTGACACTTATGAATTGTGCACACCACTTATGCGCTCCAGCCACGTGACTGGCACATTCACTGTGAACTGGCCACCCATGCAGGAGCCACATAGGAATTTTACATGTACATAATGAATATTCGAGAGACAAATTGTGCTCATGAAGAGAGTCATGAATTAGCATTGCTATGGTAAATTATTAATTGGAATGTACTGGATATAATCTTGAAAGTTTGGTTGGAAACCCAAAAAATCTTGATTGGTCAACTAAAATCCTTAAATGCTATTATGTATTCATAAAAATACAGTATAACAATTCATGCAGTTAGTTATTGTTTTCACATCTTCATTATATGAATGAAGATATCTTTATACTGTGCATATGATAGTATACCTCCAATATACGAATAATACATTTTCTTGTACAAATGTGTTTAACAAGAATGATAATGCTGTTCTGTATATGTTTGTTGAACAAAGTTTTTTTGGATGTAATGTAATTATATAGGTAATCTTTGTTAATGTCAGCATGGCTTAGACAGTGAAGCATTTATGCTTGTTTTAAGAACATATATATGATCTTAGTTTGCAAAAAATGTGGCATGAGTATTGATCACTGAAATTCTCCCAATACATTTCTAGAGTGGTGACAGGAAATGATACAGGTTTAGTAATAATTTCAGTGAATAAAAAGGCAGTTGTTGTCATTGTGATGGAAGCATTGCAAATTTTAATAAGTAAATTGATCATAAGTGTATAATAACATTGTGTAAGAAAGCAATTAGACTGTAATACGGCTGCAATATAGCTGAAGACAGTAGTTAATGTGTTGTTTATGGAAGGATGAATAAAAAAGGTGATACTGTATATATATAAGGCCTGGGAAGAGTCTGGCAAGAACAAGATAAGTGCATTTTTGTAGATTTAATATATTTTGTTATATATGTACGCAGTTTCTTTTATATATCGTTTCCTCACACAAATTGCCTTTCTCTGAGGTAACGTCGTGCAGACTCTGCCAAACACGCCAGGTGCCTTCACGTGTTAATAACGTTTGTAGGAATAACTGAAATGTTTGCCAAAGAATTAAAAATGTTTGTTTGATAACCATAAAGCTGAAAAAAATGTTTCTTTTGTTTGCTATAACAAACACATGTATCAGGGATTTTCTCATTGATACAGTCACGTGATTACTTTCTGTAATATAATGATTGTCGTTTTATCAGGTATGCAAAATGAAAATAAGATGTTAGAGCAATACTTTTTGGCATCTTATTTTGATTTTACTACTAAAATTATGGAAAATAGTCAATAAAAACAAAAGACTGCTATTTATGACAATAGCATTGTGAAGATGGAAAATACAGTAGTGGTTCCATGAGTGACCAAAACCAATTGATCTGCTACCTGGAGGGAGATAATTTTTCAATTAGAAATATTGTCGGTTAATACAATATTGATGAAAAGGTGAAAATGACTGGTGAATACTATATAGCTTCCAAAGCATGCAAGGAGGTAATTTAAAATGCACAGCACACAAGTAGGTCACTACTCACCACTGATGTAATGGACGGAACCATCTTGCAGGATAACCACCATATACAGATCATCTGTGGGAGTATCTACTGCTCATAGGAAGACCCTAAAGGTCATTTGTAAGTCCACGCTGTTTCACTGTTACTTCTACTATTGATATTGATGACAACTACTGCAGATGGTAGTTGCACTACGGTACTGCTAGTAATGCTGCTACTGGTGATGAGAGTGTGGTGATATGCTGCTGGCAGGCCTGCTGAAGCTTCTGCCATGGCAATGTGACATGAAATCTTCAAGGCACCCACCTTGCAGCTGAGAAGCGGCGAGTGGGGTCTTGTAGCTGTCGCCGGTACTCACTACCAGGTCGAGCTCGAGCATCTGCTGGTGGCAGGTCCATTGTATTGGTACGTCGGTATACGGGTCTCGCAGTAATTCCAGGGTTTATGCCCGCTTGTGAAAACCCTGTTAGTGATTCTCCCAGATGGCCAGTGGTGTTGGTGCGACGATAAAGTCGCTTTTCACCTATGTCACCAGTGTTACCCCCTCCAGCTAAACCTCCTCGGTTCCAGCCAGATAATCCACTGGTGCCAGATATGCGTGTAAGATGAGTAAGGCGACGAGATAGTTCTTCTCGAGCAAGGTTGCGCGTGTCATCCCGGGTAGGAGTTGAGCAATTTGCAGGATCGGGGCTTCGGAGGCGACTTACTGAAGGTTCACGTGATTTGCTCATTTCCCTCTCTGTAATACCATCAGCAGTTGCTACAACAGCTGCTGCTTCTCCAGCTAGTGCACCTGCTGCTGCTGCAGCTGCTACAGCATCTTGCACTCGTTCTTCACCTAATTCATTAACATTTACTGGACTGGATGGGTGAACTTTAGGGTTACTAGGTGGAATGGGTTTCATGTGGACTGTAGATGAATAATCATTTGAGGGTATAGAAGACGCTCGATACATATAAGAACGATCTTCAGGTGGAATGGATTTTGTGCGATGACGTAATGAATAATCTTCCGGAGGCATTGAAGGTGCACGTTGGGGGTAAAAACGGTCCTCTGGGGGCAATGACGGTAATCGGCGGATACTTTGCATTTCATCTGGTTGAATGGATGTGAACCGTCTTATGCCAGGAAGATCATCAGGCTGCAGAGATGTGCCCCGTCGTCCACCTAACAGGAAGATACCTTCTTCTGGTGGTAGTGATTTTCGAGAATGTCGACGAGAACTTTCCCAGGAAGGAGGAGAGGTAACAGAAGTTCTTGGAGAAGTAACTGGCGAGGAATACCGCATTGGGGTGAGGGACTCTCGTACCGCACGCTCGGTATCTTCTTTCATGAGGCGAGCCTTTGCTGCTGCTAATTGTTGGTCCATATCTTCCTTTGTGTTTGCTCGACGCAATTTTGGTTTCTTCTTGTCCTGAAACTTTGAATAATAACTCTTACGTGTGATTCTATCCATGACACTTTCATCTTCACTTTCAATGTGTCCTCGCATATCCTCGGTTCCTGTTGTGGTAGATTCTGAATTTGTTAAAGTTTGACACCCATTTTCTAAATGACCAGTGTTCCCACTACCAGCCAGTCTTTTGATCTGAGCATACTTGACTCCCTCACTTTCATTACTGGGAATGTGATTAGTAACTGTTGTGTTGTCTTCTGCTTTCTGAGTCGGAGGCTTAGGGGTTTGGTGATTTTCTATATTTGAAGCAGCTAAATCAAGATTAGTAGGACGAGCACTTCTGCGACTTGCCAGAGCAGGCGACAATCCATAGGTAGTAATTGAACCAATAGATGAAACTGTAGGAATTACTCGAGAGCTCCCATCAGGTCTCACCCCAACCCCAGGTTCCTGAACACCCATATTTCCAATGCGTGAAGTAATATCACTTTCAAGCTGAGAAAGATGGTCACAGATACTCTTTGTAACAGATTCCAAAGTATAACCAGGTTGCAAATTATTTGCAAAATTATCTGGAACGACACTCTGTGCACGCTCTGTGAGAGGGGATCCTGTCCCTGTTTCACCTCCCTCCTCTACACGACTCAGGCACAGATTTTCTTGGCTCTTTGAAAATTTCTTGGGTTTCACACGAGGTGGTTTCTTAGGCTGTTCTTCAACATTTGCTGTAGGTATTGAGGGTTGAGACATTGTATTAAGAGATGTTTTAGATTCCTCTTTTGAATCTTTACGCCCTAAAAATTTGTTGAGTGCATCTGTTAGTTTCTTGGAGGGCTTTCTCTCTGGTCGGTCAGAATCATCTAAAGCCCCTTCTCCATCACAGACACTAGATTTAGATGCGCTCTTTTCAGTTTTATGCTTTAAAAACCTTGATGGTCTTTTCAGTCGGAATTTTTCTTCTTTTTCACTTGCATCATCGTCGTCATGTCGTTTATCTGCTGGCAACCGAGTGCTGTCAGAAACATTTGAACCAGACCGATTAAAACGTGATGCCAGTAATTTATACATTGATTTAGGTTTTTCTGGATCACAAGAGGAAGTCTTCTTAACTTTGGCTTTATACTTGTCATTGTCCTTTTCTTTACCTTGGTCTTTAGATTTTTCAGTTTCCATCTCCTTTTCTGCCTCATTTACTTTTTTCTTGCTTTTATTATTGTGGTTGCTCAAGTCAGTCTCCTTTTGTTTGTCGTGTATGACAGCTTCTTCAACCTTTCCATTTTCTTTCTCTTTTACGGTAATTACTGACGATCGATTTATGTTAGGTGTTATGGGAACAGGATTTGCAGCCTTTTCTACTGCTGATGATTTTGTATGCTCAAATTTCTTCTCAATAGATGTTTTTGCTTTTTCAAATGGTGACTTTGCACGGTCAAGAGAAGTTGGAGGTGGAGATTTTAATCTTACAGGTGGAGGATCTTGGTTGGCTGTGTCTAGAGGTAATTCTCGGGATTTGGTACGTCGGTAAGCTTCAAAGGGTGATATACGCTTCAGTGTACCCGAATTAAGTTGATTAAATTTCTCCCCGGCAGCTTCAATAGCTGGCGTCAGTTCTCTTGACTTACTTTTCTGGTACGTTTTTGGGTGCAGTAAGTCAGGTGTAACTTTAGTGCTTGTACTGCCGGTGGTGTTTCCACTGTAGCTGCTGCGAGTACTAATGCTGCTTCGGCTCTTGCTTTTTACAGGAATACCACTGCTTGATCGACTAATTACAATACTACTGCTGTTTTGTGCATTATTTGTATGGCTGCTATTTGACTTAGATGTAGTGTTTGCCTTAGGGTTGATATTACTTGACGTCAAGTTATTATTTATTACACCTAATTCATTAGCAATATAATTTTCATCATTATTATTTTGATTATTTTTATTGTTGGAATAAACAATTTGATTTTCTATGTCATCATTAACTGTATTAACACACTTTATGTCATTACCCAATAACTTTGTACTAGGTGCCACTGCAGTAGTTCTTACATTTAGTGACTGGTGGGTGTCAAAGGGAGCACGAGCAGGTACATTTTTACTATCTGAACATTCAGGTTGTGTTAAATTGTTAGCAGCAGACTGACAAGGGTCTTCCGATTTACCGACGTGGTGTTCACATGCATCTGTATCACCCTTTTCCTGAGATCGTCTATAGGCCTCCAAAGCAGAATTATCAGCATTTTTAATAACTGCATTGCCAGATTTTAACCACTCTTCTTTAGAGGATAGAGCTCTTCGAATTCCACTACCAGCTGGGGCACCATCACTGTTCGAAGGGCTAATAGCTCCATCTCTACAGATATCCAAAATAGTGTTATAACCAACATGATCGCTGGGGGTTGGATGGATGGAAAATGCACGGTTCTTGCGGTCAGAGGCACTGGCGTCGGTGCTAAGCATCGGAATATTACTTGTGGATGTATTGTTTGGTTGCGTGGAATTTATTGCTGCAGTGACTATAGTAGTGCAGATTGGCGATATATTATTATCCTTGCTTGTTAGTCTTGCATTATTTAAGACCACATTATTTGCTGAATTATCATCATTTATTATTCCCATGTTTTTACCAAGTTTCATCATTTGTTCATTATTTGTACATGGATTGTTGTTTAGGACTGAAGGTGTTCCCTGGTAGCCAGTAGTAGCCTCAGAGTGTGTTTGTGGTGAAGATGATTGAATTGGTGTGCAAGTGATGTGAAGTGCTGGATTAGAAGAGTACATTGGCTTACTAGGCGAGTACATGTTTCTGCTTGGGGAGTAAATGTGTGTTAATGATGAATTTTTTGGTGTGCCAGAAAAATGGACTGGTGATGCATGAGTTGAAGAAAGTGTATTATACTGAGGATTAATGCCATTGAGTTGTTGCTCTGGTGGCTTGCACACCTCAGAGGTTTGGTCATCTCCAGCTTCAAGCTCTCTAACAAGCTGTTTCAGTTGTTCTTGTACACTTTGCTTGAGAGCTTCAGTTTCCTCGGATGACTGCTGACCCTGACCGCTAGGGGAGAGTTGTGATGTGCGTAGGTCTTTCTGCGCACTAATATGAGCAGCAGCACTTGGAGGTGCTGATCTTTGTAATTGCTGCTCATAGAGCCCACCATCCCTCCCAATACATTCCCCCGGCGGGCCACCCACAGTTGAGTGGGGGCGACGATGTGGACTCCGCAGTGTTCCATACATTGCTGCTATCCGATCTGCTGAGTCATGCATGCCTCTGCTTTGAGGTAGATTTCCACTGCTACTAGCAGGATATGGACGAGGAAGTGACATGCCACCTCCTGGGCACCCTCTGCTGCCTGTCATTCCCAGTTCTTCATCTGGAATGTTGTGTAGTTCTCTTGAAGGTGCACGGGAATACTGTGGCCGGCGACTAAGTGAGCGAGCTGAAGCTTCAGATGTATCGGACTCTCCTCCATCTTCAGCACCTGACCACCGAGATGCTCGCCATCCTGCAGGGACACACAAGTTAACTAGAAATGGCCCTTCAGAATCTGTTTGTGGCTGCCCTTGTATTTAATCACTTCTAATATGTCAAGTCTTCCTACTACTTAACTACACAACCAAACGTTATTTTATCAAGTTGTATTACCATCTCAGTAGTGAGATTTAGATGCATTACAATTTAGTTACAGTAATATGATTTAACTGGAAATCTATAGCTTACTGAAATATTGGTCTAATATATTTAATACTCTATTCCTTAGCCATAAGTAACAAAATATACTTTTACTGTGAACAGTCAAAATAATAAATATTCTACATTTATTAGAAAATAAATAACTAGAAATATTGACACTGAAATAAGTGTTGTTGCAATAAAAACTTGTACAATTTGTCACATTTTAACTTACTTACCTCAAATAGTCTGCTATATTCTGCAATGAAAATGTTCACTTCCAACACAATAAACTACCCATGAAACCCCCTTCACAAAGCATTGTTCTTTACACATTCAACCCAAAATTTTAGACTAGCTTTTTTCAGTGGAAATCTGTTCCTACACCTTATGATTACCATAATATACAGGCAACATTGACAGTTTTCTATGAGTTAAAACAATGTGATTAACAGATCATTGGGTTATTATTTAATTTGTTTTGCCAACTTGCATGGGACATTAATAATCTTTCAGTCGAGATCACAAAAGGGTTGTGACAGGGCAATGTCCTGTCTCAAAGTCAGTTAATTTTAACAGAAAGGGACAGATTTAATTATCTTTTTCCTATGTTCCATATTATTTTGTAGCCATATCAACTGTTGCACACTTCATGCCTTTGGATAGCTAGAATTTTATACAACTTTAAATTAACTTTATTTCTATATTATTGTCAGTGTTTGTAATCATTTTGAGTTGTGCATAAGTGTGTGTAGTGTGGTTGTGTCTAGTGCCTGTGTTTACTGCAGCATGTGGTGTGTGTGATTATATATGTGCTACCCCTCACCCCACTTATGTGCCTTTGTAGCGTTTAACCGATACCACTCATAGGATGGGTATGGGATGCATAATAAGTGAACTAAATAAAAGAACAAAACATTGAATTCACAAGACTGTGGTGTGTCTTTGACAAACAATATTGAGGCCTATAGAATTGAACCTGAAACCCTGGACATCCCCCCCTTCCCCCACCCAGGTACATGCACTATGGTTGTCAGTAGTACCTGTGTCTGGGGATTGCAGACGTGGATTCGATCCCATTGTACAACCTAAATATTTTCTCATAAACTCATCGCATTCTTGTGATTTTATTGTGCATGTGAAACATTTATATACAGTATATTCTTTTTCTACATTTTTGTTATTAACTTTTACAGTTTTGTACAGGCTAATGGTGTGCTGTTGCAATGTATTTTACACACTATTATTCATTTCATATTGAAAAATATATTTGTACTACTGTATTTAGCTACTGAAATGTTGTAATAGTTGGTTGAAGAGAGCATCATGTGCTTACAGTGATGTAGAGAAATGTCAAATAAAGAGCAGACTTTTTTTAAATGTGTTTTCTATAAGGGATTTGTCAGTTACAGAAAACAGAAGACAGCTGCAGATGATGGTGAGGTGAAGGTGAGCTGAGGTCATGAAGGTGAGGAATTATGTTGGAATTTATGTTTTTTTAATGCAGTATAAAGTATAGCGGTAGATGAATTGTAATTCTGATGGAATTCAGACATGTTTAAATGTATGATTTGGTGAAAATGTATATATTTTAGTAGTGCATACTTAAGTACAGTATTCTAATGCCCTTTGTTATAAATAGTAGTAGAGTTCTGTGCATAATAAAAGTTCATGTGAAGCCAGGTTTTCCCCCCAAAAAAATTGTAAACATTAATGATCACAAAACATTTGTAAACATTAAGATCACAGTTATTGATCTCTTACAAATGTTTAATCTTATGTGAGATTTACTTTTAGTTAATGTTTAGTATTTTTTGCACATAACCTGTCAAATTTTATTCTTCATTTTTATAAATGGCCTTTGGTATCTATTATGCACTCTTGTTGAGTATTGTGAAATTTAATTTGATTCCATGACAGTTTTAAATAACCTTTTAAAGTTTAAATATCAGTTTATTAGAGTAAAACGTTTTTGTTAGAATTAAGAATAAGGTTGAATTAACCTCTGCAATGCATCATTGTCAAGCAGCCCCCGTCTCACCATGTGTGGCATTGTTGACACAATTAAAAAATAAAATATGGTAACTTCAGACAAAAAACAGTAACAAATTACTGTAGTAACAAATTCTAGAACTGATTATAGTTTGGCCATATTAGGCAAACAAAATATGATATTTAAACACCTATTTACTCCCAGCACTGGCCAAAAAAGTATTTAAAAAGTTAAATTTTCCTTTTTAATTATGAAATTACTACACTGGAAATACATATAGATTATAGAAAAGTTTTATCATACAAAACATATTCGTTGAGAGACCCAGTTATTATGAGAAATAATTAACACATAACTAATACCTGTATCATAAATATTGATATTATAACTAATATCATAGATATTAGTTATGAGTATTGTGTTTGAAGAGATACCAGGGTGATTGGGAGTGTGTATAGGGTCCCTCCACAGCGGAAATGATAATGAACAAATCCGGAAATGATATTTTGTAACGTGAGCCGTGTCCCCAGAGACCTCTGGCAGTTGGAAGCGCAACATGTTATAACATCCCGGGATGTTATCTGCACATAGTTTTGACATACGTATCATGCATGGATGTTAACTGCAGCAAAAGGGTCCAGTTGCATGTGTGTGGCTGGTGCAATGGTAAGAAAAGTGATTATTAATTTGATAAGCTTATATCAATATACAGCCTTGTATATATTTTTTTAATTTATTAATATTTGCCCTTATGCTGTATGTTTTATACTGTCCAGTTCTACCATGTTGTTTTAATTGTGTATACAGTATTTAAGTTTTTTTAAGTTTGTGATTTAGATGATCAATTTATGCTTTGTAAATTTGTCTCTTATCTATGTTCTTATGTTTTTCGTTCCAATATTTTCAATCTTTATTATCATCCGTAACTTTTCATTAGTATATAAATATTAATTACTATACATTCTTGCAATCTTATCATTGCTGAATGTGATGGTATCTCTAGTAAGGTGTTGCATTACAATATTTATTAAAATCAATCATAAAAAATTATGGAACACCCATTTTTATTTTGTTTATACTTTTTTTACTTGTTTATACTTATTGAGGTCATCCTTTGCAACTGACTGACCTTATTCAGGATGCATATTAGGCAACAGTTGGCCAACTCCTAGGTTCTTATTTATTACTAGATGTGCAGGGGCATCGGGTACAAGGAAATGTGCACGGGCATCGGGCACAAGGAAATGTGCACGGGCATCGGGCACAAGGAAATGTGCACAAATCCCTTGTCCTCTTGAGAGAATTGAAACCGGAACTGTCAGGTATGAGCTAAACACTATGCTACACAGGGTATGCTGTAATGCATAATGTAAATACAAACACCTATAATAGTAGTGTATTCTAGTGTAAGAATTATATTTTTTCTTTGGACTGAAAATTTATTTGCCTTGTGAACCTACAGTGTCGATGCTCGTGATCAACCAGGCTGTGATTTATACGTCAGGCTGCGAGCAACTGCGTCCAGCAGCCTGGTTGACCAGTCCAGCAACAAGGAGGCCTGGTTGAGGGCCGGGCCGCAGGGACGCTAAGCCCCAAAATCATTGCAAGGTGACTGCAAGGTAACAGTGGCCAAGTGAGGTGTTCCTATATAAAAACAATTTGCATACACTCTCTAAACTTTTTATTTCTTGTATTTCAACATAAACTGCTTGTACTATTGGCAGACTAGTTGCCAAATTATATTTTTTGTATTAGTTCACACTTGTGGCTTCCTTGAGCAGCTATATGTCTACCCCTGGGTTTATGACCTCTAAGTTCTTTAACAATGGGCTGGCAGCCAGATGCCTTCGTGCCATACCTCGTCTTTTACGCAGTTATGTGGCGTTGAGAGTAACACATCCCCCGAGTCCTTCACCAAATATGGCTGGATCCAGTATCCAACATAAGGGTTTACAAGTAAGCTCCCTCTGTTCTTTTAATTACATAGTGTAGTGTTTTCCATTTTACGATCGCATGTTGTGTTGGGTGTTGCCCATGTTAAGTTCCATGGGGGGAAAGTTCAAGGAAGCTACTGAGAAATAGGCTCCTGTTTTTCCTGCAGATTTTCAAGGATTATCTGAGGCTTGAGATAATGATGTTGACTTAGTTGAAGCAGTGATGTAGTATTTGGGATAACTTTGAGTTTTGTTTTGTATTCATTTATATTGAACACTTCTCTTGAGATTTTATGATCCCTTTTTCACATGGTTTCTCTTGGTGTATGGAGTCTTTGATACACCCAGCTGCCTTGCTTAATAAAGTCTTTGTTCAACAAAAATATGGTTTTAACAGTGATAGGTTCCAGGTACTTAGGTATGGTCAAAATGATGAACTAAAATGAAATATGGGGTACAAGATACAATCAGACCTACTTATGTAAGGGAAAATAACATGTAAAAGATTTGGGAAGTATGATGTCTGACGAGCTGACATTTAGTGAAGGTAATGAAGCAAATGTAGCGTCAGGTAAAAAAATGATACAATGGATTATGAGAAAGTTGAAATCCAGAGATTCCACAGCGATGTGAATACTATTTAAATTACTGGTGCTGTCCTGCCTCGAGAGTTCTAAAATAGAGGAAATACAAAGAACATATACAGTACCTATAGACACAATAAAGCACCCAAATTATTGTGACTATCTGAAAGCATTCAAAATGTACTCTGGAAATGAGATGAGAGAGGTATCAAATAATATATACATGAAAGATACTGGAAGGCCAGGTCAAAATTTTGCACAGTAGAAAAGATGCAAAGAAATGCAGAAGAGAACCAGTGAGGAGTAGAGGTGACAGGCACAA